TTCCAGTAAAATCAAGTTATGAGGCATAGTAAATCATATGATCCGTAATGTGATTTTACTGGAAACACTCCCATATAATATTAATTGTCATCTCCTCATTAATACTTTCATCAAAATTATTAAGCATTAAATTTATCATTTTCTCTAAACATGGAATATCGAAGTTAAATATTTCGTATTTGAACAAAAAATAGTTTGTGTAGATGTTTACCTAAAATGAATCTGATAACAACTACATGTGGAAATTTCTCTTGAACGCTAAATTGTTCGAATCCGTGGAAAATTTAATAAGCATCGCTAAGAAAATATTAACCAGAATACAGTATAATGAAAACCAATAATTACTAACGCACCAAAATTTAATATATTCTTCAATATATTTATCATTTGAAACTACATTTACATAGATTTCCTTTATCAGCTGAAAAATAATCATAGCCTAATTCATATGCTAATTGACATCGGAATATGTTATTTATCGATATAGAAGTTGAATTAGGAAAGCTCGTACTCATCCTAATTAATAAAAATCAAAACATGTTAGCAAAATGTAAACCACCTCAGTTTTTATTATACCTTAAATTCTTTTAACAAAGATTTTCCAATAGTAACCTTATCGAATCCATACCCGAGATCTATGTCTTATATTTTGGCCTAATCATCTTTCAGTGTAATATACATTACAGGATCCCAACAATAAGATCTCTAAAGGAAAAAAATTTTTTTTTTTGATTACTAGATTTAATAATCCAATCAAGTACAGTAAATATACTCACTGTCCATAAGGTATAAACGCATCAAATAATGTGTTCTTTCTTATATTATTAGCAAACATAATCGTGCTTTACGTAAAACCTTGTTAAAAAAAAAAAAAAAATAGAAATCGTTAAACTCCATAATGCTGTGACTACAAAACTTGCCATTAAGTTGTTCAGCGAATTTCAATACACTAAATAGCCATGTAGATTTTTGTAATTGGTATAATGTATAAGGGCTTTCAAGATAATTTGCGTGTAAAATATATTGTTCTTAGATCAATAAAGTTTATAAAGCTTTTTTTATTACTTTTGTGAATTTTCATTGATATCATTCTGATATATTATAATTTTTTTTTGTTTGAAAATTTAATCAAATAGCGACATCATCCTATTTTAGCGTAAATAATATTAGAACATATGATATTCGATAATTGTCATTAGATACATGATATTATTATAATAAGCACTCATACCAGAAATATTCCTACTGCTTCTTAAAGTCCTTTGGCGCTCCATGCTTAGTCCTGTACATAGCGTGAAAGAAATTCAATAAAGTCCGAGTTAAAAGATTCGCAAAAATCTCTGCCCGATTTGTCACTTACCTATTTCCACAAACGCTCTGAACAAAGCTTCTAAGTTTACGAAATAATAAATCGTCATTTTCTTTTGTTATCTGTAAATTAAGATAATATCACGAACTCTGCCCTAATGGTCACTCAATATTCTACTGTCTAAAGAATTATTCAGCTCAGTTAAAATGCCTAAATAAACGTTTATACAATGCCTATATGAGTAAAAGGAAGAGTACCTTTTCATCCTAGAAATTTATTGGAATATTGTTAACAACTAACAAATCAGCTTCTGTTAAATAATTTAATTTAATATAGGAAATTCGTATGGAACGATTAAAATATTTGTAATGCTCACATTGTTTGATCTTTGAATCAAATCGTTCGTAATTCTTGATTTGGATAATGTAATCGCGCTCTAATTCTGGAATAATTTCAATGACGTGCTTGGATTCCAATAAAACACTCTTATACGTATTGCTTACAGAGACATTTAGTACTGAGTCACTAGTCCCATCCAAGATATCAAAATTCGTTTTAATACAGATAATTACTATAAGATATAGATGATTAAAACGCGATCTTTGAATTGGCCGGTGGCTTAGAAGTTTTAACGATACACGTTACACGGTTTTTTTCTCAAAGTGAATTTGAAAGCAATAATAGTTTTTAATCTTTTTTTTTATATTTTTTACATTATAATAATATATTTTTGACCGCCATATTAATAATTTTAATACGTATCTTTTCATACAAGTAAAACCTTATATAAATCTTACAAATATTCAAAAAGATATGGTATCAATGTGTTGGACCTTTAAATGTCCAAATTTTTCTCAACGATACATTACTTGAAAAGAAGGAAGAAAGTGACTGTAAGTTAAAAAAAAAATTCAAAATTTTTTGTTTTTTATTTTAATTTTTAAATAATTCTTTGTTTTTATAGTTGAACCTTCTGTGAAGTGAAGTGTAATCTCATTTTATTAAAAATTGTAAAATTCTTCGTATCGTTTATCGTATGCAAAGATTTAGTAATTACTTGTACGGATTTCAATTCTTATGTAAAAATATATATATATATATTAATATAAAAAAAAGTATCGTTATGATTAGAGAAATTTTTTAATATAAAAATATATTAGGAGCTATTTGTTTAGTTATATATTAAAATAAGCATTATTATTATTTACAGTAATGTTATTATTTAAAATATATATAGGGGAAAATTGGTTGAAATATGTTCAGATTTAGCATTAAATTAATTTGTTATATTATAATATTACAATTTAATCAATTAATATAAATAGTTTATTAAATAAAAAATTTAACTAAATTTCAGATTAGATTATAAGTATTAATTAATTGGGAGCTTTGCAATAGAAAGGGAGGAAACTCTAAAAAAATTTTTTTTTGATTAATGTTAAATCTGGACTTATTTTACAAAAAAAATCATAATTAGCTTAGAAAATAAAATTTTAATTTTTTTAGAATTTCCTCCCTTTCTATTGCAAAGCTCCCAATTATATATCAAATCTTTCAGTATATGTTTCTAAATTTTTGAAAAAAATAATAAGAATTATTTCTTAAAATCACTAATATAGTTAACTCTTTCTATAGCGAATTTTGATATAACAAATTTCACAATATAACATATTTACAGTGTGGTACAGATTTTTAAATATAAAAAAACCTTACTATACCGAATTTATTAAAATAAAATTCATATTACGTTTAACAAATTTAAGTGTGTGAACATGCATTATATAAATGCCCCTTTGTATAACACATTTATTTATAATGAAGATTTTTTAATGTAACAAAGATTTACAAAAATTAATTTTAATAGAAAAGATCATGAAATTTTGTAATTTTTTGTACCTTAATAAAGTTAACGAAAGTGCTTCATGTAATGTTTCGCAATTTTTTTATAAATGTTTCTTTGTTTCGCATGTTTCGCAATTTTTTCATATTTCTTTAATATAAGAATGCCGAAAGTAAGTTCTAGTAATAAACCTTTAAAAAAAAACAAAAGTCTCTTATTGCTTCACAAAAAAAGAGATTTGTTTAAAAAAAACTTCATTCCCATTCATCGGAAAATTTTAAAGATGTCGACCCACACCAGTATATGTGTTGATCAATATTAATCTATAGTTTAATGTAATACATAACATTATACAACACTGTATACGAAAGTTTATCAACACATACCATTGTTATACATGTTTTTTAACACCATCAGTTATTTATCACGTTGTATACTATTGTGCAATAGTATATACAAACGCATACTGTGACTTGTCAAAAAATTAAAAATTTAAATTTAAACTTTATTTTTACAAATTAAAACATGTATACATTTACAAAATATTCATTTGATCATTCAGTACTTGAATTATATGCACTAATTCAATGATTGACTCTACAGGTACAATGTTATATGTGTTTGTAATTTGCAATAAGAGGCAATCATATTTGTATAAACGTCTTGGATCATATTTGTAACAAAAATCATACCATTGTACAAGTGCAAGGTCAAAAGATGAATAATTTTCCATTTCAACATTAATTAACATAAGAACCTAAATACATAAAATACATTGATAATTGATATTATTATTAATATAAAACTACTAGTATTATCAACTGTACCTTGCCAAAACATCTGTATTATAGTCTTTAGTTTCTTCATTGCTCATGTTGATTGATACATCACTAAATGACGGTTCATTGTAATATTTGCTTTTTACTCTAATATAATCTCCACTAGGAATAGCATTAGTATAGCTATACCAGTTAATTTTATCATTAATCACGTCAGTTAAGCCTTCGCATAAGTCAAAAAATTCATTTAATGCTGGTAGAAAGTGTTCAAAAACCATTAAAGCTTTGTCGGTCAAATCATTGGTTAACTTATAATTATTAAAAAATTCATCAAAATCTTTTAAAAAAAACGTGCCTAAAAGGCTGTTTATTATAATTTTTTGTCGGCGTCAGTTAACAGCTACATGTTGATGCAGCAAGTATTTAACTATCAATTACGATAAACCTATAAAAAACAATAGCAATTTAATATACATAATTGTTAAAATAATGAGCTAGGTATATTTCCTAAGGTTAAATAAATGGGATGTTAGCTAGTTTTGCCTAATTGGTTGCATATTATTGCGTTAGAATACATGATTATCGACAAGACTTTTGCTTTACCAGGAATCGAATTTTATACTCTTTCCCACCACTCCCCGTTATACTGTTAATAATAAATTCTCTGACCTTTGTAGCTCAATGGCTCAAATTTAAATTTATAATGATAAAATATATTTTGATTGCTTAGCAACTCCTTTTTAGCATCAAAAATTTGACGGTAATAAAGGTAATATGTTTCCTCTTTATATACCATAATAGGGATCTTTTTAAAAAAAATATGTAATACATTCATCTGATATAACAACTGACAGCCCTTTTTTATAGACATTGGTAAAATTACATCATCACGACAAATCTTTTTTGAAAATTTAAGTATATCACTACCACATGCATTCGATAAGTTCCATTTGGTAAGTAACTCCATAAAATCTCTAAATTCATTGCTTGGAAATTCTGGTATGTCTATTGTTGAATTATTAATATTAAGAGACTCAAGGATTGGACTTGTTTCAACGGAAAGCAATAAATACTCAATCTTGTCATTATCGATCATCTGCTATATATAGATATTAATATAATATCACATCAAATAACTATGTAACACATTAATCTCCCACCTTTTCTTCAAGTTGTTCTTCGTAATCAAATTCCTCCTTTTCTTCTAGTTGTTCGTCATAACTCAACTCTTCCTCTTCTTCTAGTTGTTCATGTGCCTATTCTACTTCTTCAGAAATTTTTTGTAAAGCTCTGTCAACTACTGCATTATCATGAATCTTTACGTGATTTCATAGCGAAGCATGATGACTAACTCTCTTCTACAAGTTGACATGTATAACTTGGCATTTTTTTAATAAAATAAGATGTAGATTTAACTATTAAGTTAAATTAATGTGATGAATTTAAGGATTTCGAAACATCATGATGTTTAAACTGAATTGATTAATGATCAATTCATGTCTCTCATTATTAAATTAATCAACGAGATTAATCACGTTATCTAAAAACACAAAAATAAAAAGAATCAAGAAACACCAATATCCAACATCTTTTTTACTCTTCTTTTTTTTGCCTATCATATTTACCATAATGAGTACTATTAATTACAACAACTTAAAATGTCCAAAGATAAGATTAATAATGACAAATGAAAAGGTAATTATATATTGTTTATTAATTATGTTTGGTTGATTTATTTCTATGTTTATTAACTTGTTATACTTTCTTTTAGACTCTGGAAAATAAAGGTATGAAGAAAACTTTTTTGTTTATTAAAATAAATTAAGCGTACTAATTTTTAAAATTAAACGTAGTATCAAAAGAATGCTTGAATTCTACTGATACTAATACTGAGGTTACCAAAGAATCTGTTTACAGATCATGATCAAATACTAGAAAACCCGAGGAATCCATTGACAAACCACGATCAAATACTAGAAAACTAAGAAATCTGTTGATAGATCACGATCAAATACTAGGAAAACAAAAATTTCAAAGATCGACTTGTTTTCAAATAATGATTTTATCTTTCAGACAAGTTCAAGTAATACTACTAGAGTATGTTGAGAAACAACTTAATTAGTAATGGCAAATTATATTTTTTATTATTGTTACTTGTTTTAACTAACTCTTAATGTATTTATTTATTACGTAAATAGGAGAAACATCAACAATGCTTTTAACTGATATAGCAATACCTCATTTTACATATCGAACGACATTTAAAATATCTAAGATGAGCTTCAGAGTATCTCAAGGTTTTAAAGAATCTGCTGAAGGTTGAATAGAATTTACATCAACATATATCTTGCATTTATTAATATGATATTAAATTAATTCTAATTTATTAGCTGATTATACACGAGAATTAATAAAAATAATTAAAATCTGTCAAAGCAATTCAACAAAACTGAACGAACTAATTGTAAATCAAGAAAAACTAGAGGAGAAGATAAACAATCAGGATAATAAAGTATCAACAATATTGTTATTGTTAAATGATTACTACAAGAAGATCCACCTTTAAATTAAGACGAAAGATAAAGAAAAAAGCAAAGTTAAAAAAGAGGAAGATTTTTACCATGTAAATAAATATAAATAATTTAAAATATTTCTTTAAATGTTTGCTTATAATTATATTTGTATTATAGGATGCAATTAAAAAGCTTGCCTATGAAATATTCTACGAGCATAAACAGTATTCTGAATAACAGATGAAAGAACATTTTAAAGAAAAATTAGACAGTAATGAACATTACGTTGATTTTCTTCAGAAGTCTAATGAAAGAGGTTTAACCTGTGATGAATTGTAGAACAGAAAAATGTATTCCTCTGTAAGTATTAGTATTCCAATTTATATAACATTATATTAGTTAGTGTATTAATATGTTTAGTAAATTAACTACTCATCACAGTCTGTTCAAAAGAGGCTACTATGTAAGAAGAGTTAAAAAAAGTTTGTAGTCAACATTTGATATAAACTGAATAAAGCCTTTTAAAGATACTTATACTAAATATCAGATGAAAGAGTGAAAGTAAAATAAAAACATTCAATAAGTATATAACGATTTATATAAGCCTATCAATCCTGAAGATGCGTAAGCTGATATATATATTTCTTTAATAATTAAATCCATTTTTACAGTTGAAAAGAATGTACGCAATTAAATAGAGTTTGGGTTCAGTCAGTTCTCGAGATAATTTTTGATGAAAAACATCTTTCAGCAAAAATTGATTCTGATGTAATAGAAAATTGGACTGAAGTAATTACTGATACCAAAATGGTAAGTATACAGACTACATTTATAATAGTATTTAAACTTAATTACTAATATTAAAATACTTTTTATTAGGATTCAGATGTACACGATCATTATTCTCTAGTGTATTTACTTTCTGATCAATTGGTGGATGATGATAGTAATAATAATATGTCATCGGTGAATGACTAAATATGTGTTTATTATTTTCGTAAAATATTTAGATTTTATGTATTTTTTCGTATTTTTTTCTTTTAATTCTTTTATATTTTTATTTCGATTATTTCAATTGATGTAAAATCTGATGTAAATCAGTCTCTAATATACATCAATACATATACTACCATTCGTTGATACAACTAATAAGCATTTAATTGATGATCATTACAAATTATTGTAGTACATTAATAATAAATATTTAATAAACATTGATTTTCGCAAAATATAGCATATGATTTATTTATTTAATTGCTAAAAAAATAAAAAATATCACTCTCTGAATTATTAAAAATTTCCATGTATACATTTAGTAATTAATTATCTGTATCCTTATAACCAATCTCATTTTCATCTAATTCATAATTTTTATTTAATGTCTTTTTCTGCTGTTTATCCCAATCAATCATTCGCTTGATTATCAATTCACCAGAAAGTACAGTTGTTTGAATTTCAGGATCAAACATGAGTTCTACGATTGAAATGACAAACAAGCAATTATTTGTGATACGTTCATTTGTTTTTAAAACTTCTTGTATAATATGACTAATATAGGTGTCACTAGGATTATCTACATTCTTGACCTTATTCCAAAGATTTTCACAAGCCCATTTCACATTTTTTGACATTTTCCATTCTAAAACTTCAGATGATGTTGCCTTATGATCTGGATAAGTTCTTATGAATGTCTTTCCAACAACATTCATTATGGCATTTTTAATATTTCAGACATAGCTTGCACGTTTAACATGAAATTCATAATGCGTCTATATATTTATTTCAATAATAAAAATTGTCAGTATTACAGTTTTTGATGTATATTATTATCAAGTATAATTGGTAATTTACCAATGTTTGTAGCATCTCAGACACATATTTAAGCTATCCATTCTTATTACTTTTGATTTTTTTAATCTCATCTGGATGCTCATCACTTAGAGCTGTATAAATAGTATCTTTCATAGTATTATCTGTGGGGTTTTTGTCAGCTTAGAAAAGGTTATTACATGACTTAATCAATGTAGTCTAAATTAGATAGTGATCATTAGATAAAAAATTTAAAAATACTGTTAATGTAACAAATATGACACTTACAGTATACCAGGATAATTTCTTTTTAGCGGACCCTTTAACAACTTCGTCATTGCAGTCAATATCATTTTTCTCTCCAGATGATTTATATTCCTTTATAGACTTGTTGATGGCATTTTCAATGCGAGCTGCAGCTTCATTGGTAGAAATTGCTTTCTCATATACGCCCTTAAGCATATTGCATTGTTTTATATAATATTTCTTCAAGCTGAGACACTATATAAAAATTAATTAATTAAATCTATAGTTACCAGCATAAACATTAAAACATTAATATTTACCTTTTGTTACATTACTAATATTTGAACCAACTATACATGAAGTCAAAATGAAAACCCAAAAGTCGAAATGTTTCGACTTTGGAGGTCAAAGTCGAAATGAAAAGT